GTTCGATAGCTCTCACTCGTGCTCTCTCTTTCTCTCGTTACTCTCAACACGCCGCCGACAACGACACGATGACGATGACGAAGACGACGACAACGACGACGACGACGAACCAGCCAGTTCTGGCTAATCTTCACTGGTCTCGGCTTTACCGTTTCCGACTGTCTCGATTCTCCGACCGAACGAGTCTTTCCACCGCATGCTTCTACCTCCTTTCATCCTCCCACCCTCTCGCTCTCATACTCTATCCTTCTCCTTCTCCATTCTTTGCCGACATGCTCTCTTTCACCATTCCCTCTACCAATCTTCCCCACCACCGTTTTTCAACCGATCTCTTTCTCTCCTACTTGCTCGCTCTCCCTCTTCTTCTCCCTTTTCCTCTTACGTATTTGCGTACGCACGCACGCACCTTTTACCCTACTATTTTCCCTTCTCTCTCTCTCTCTCTCTCTCTCTCTCTCTCTATATATATATATATATATATATATATATATACTTTGAATTCGAGCCGTTCACAGTTCCAAACGAAGCCACGTGGCATCCGCGACGGTTTCAACGGTAAAACGTCGAGATTACCTTCGGCAATGTCGTTAATGTGTTTTCAACAATTTATCTCTCGTAGATGGCGCATAAGTTCCCGTTGCGGAATGATATCGAAGCCTCTCATTCGTGGAAAATACGCCAATGACTGCACGACCATATTTTTCATATTTTTTATTTCAATTGTGAAAATTATGTTTATAGTTTATTCGAATGATTTTTATTGTCATCAATACAACGTTAAGAATCATCGATCATAATTCTAGATCGTATGAAATCGTCGATTATGTTTTTGACATTCATCTAATTAGCGCTTTACATTTCATTAAAGATATTCTTTGATTGGTGCGCTTAACAAATTGACCATATGAAGCGTTATTTTTTATCTTGAATAAGTAATCTATTTTTTATTACCAATAAAACAATATTGTTTCCTTTTTTCTTTTATGTATAAAAAGTGGCATCTCTTGTTACAAGTCAAAACTAACAAAGAACTGATGTAATAAGTAATATGTATATTCATTATTTCCTTCTTTTATTCCCTTCTTGAGTTCATTTTGTGGTACGAAAGGCAATAAGAACTATCAAGAGAATTTGTTTATGAAAAATATTATACAATATGTCCGACATTTCAAAAGGATACTGGTCTTTCAAGACGTCCGATTTGGAAAAAAAAGTAAGGAAAAAAGAATTCATAATTTATCATTATACGATCGAATCGAAACATTATCAAGAATTTTTTTAAACAAGTATTACACAATAATAAAATTTATTATTTTAATTGTTATTAATAAGTAGTTTAAAACATTACTTTTTTTTTATTTCTCTAATTATAGTATACCATTGTTGACTTACGAAGCGATACACTTACCAAACCAACTAAAGCTATGCGAGTTGCTATGTTCAACGCAGAAGTAGGAGATGATGTTTATGAGGAAGATCCAACAGTAAAAAGTATTTTAATATTAGTCGTTTTAAAAAGGTTTGCATTATATGTTTGTTGTTATATATTATCATTATTTTAGAACTAGAAGAAAAAGCTGCAACATTAATGGGAAAAGAAGCTGCACTTTTTGTTACTTCTGGAACAATGGGAAATTTAATTGCCAGTCTGTGTCGTTTTCCGGTATAACATATATATGTATATATATGTATATATATTTCCTGTATATACATATATATGTGTATATATGTATATACATATCTACATAGGTCTAGTTTTACATAAAAAAAAGATACATCAAATTAAAATATCGATTATCTATCGTTTGGTTACAGTTATGACTCATTGCGATATACGTGGAAGCGAAGCTTATTGCGGTGAGGATTCTCATACGGTTTTACACGAGCAAGGTGGCGCTGCTCAATTAGGAGGTGTAACTTTATGTCCTTTACCAAATAATCCTGATGGAAGTTTCGATCTAGTATTACTTCGAAATAAACTTCGTAAAGACAGATTGCATGAACCAATCTCAAAATTGGTAATTGTAGAAAATACAATTAATGGTAAGATCGTACCACAAGATTGGATTATAAAATTGTCTGAATTAGCCAAATCTTGTAATCTTAAATTACATCTGGATGGAGCAAGAATTTGGAATGTTGTTACGGCATCTAACGTATCGGCTAAGGATCTTGTGTCTGTATTCGATTCGGTCACGTTTTGTTTAAGCAAGGGTTTGGGGGCACCGATTGGTTCCGTATTATGCGGAGATAAATGCTTCATTAAAAAAGCTAGAAGAATACGAAAGGTTTTAGGTGGAGGAATGAGACAAGTTGGTATTATTGCGGCCGCTGGACTCGTGGCTCTAGAGGAAATCGTACCTTTGTTGAAAGAAGACCATAAAAGAGCAGCCCTTATCGCACAAGCGATCAATAATTTAAACTCCGAAATATTTACCGTCGATGAGAAAACTGTACAGACAAATATAGTTTTTATAAATATACATTCGAAATTTATTACTTCAATAAATTTTGCAGAAAGACTTCAGCAAGTTCAAGAAGATGAGGAGGATGATAAAATAATAATAAAATGTTTACCTGTAACCAGTACGACGGTTAGATTAGTTTTGTACCATGAAATTACTGACGCGATGGTGGAAGCGGTTATACGTAAAATCACATATATTATTAAATGTATGGATGTAAACAAATCATCGACATAAACCTATTAAATAAATAAACTATGATCTGATATTGTATTATTAAACGTAGAAAGGTTTTGTGTTTATATAATTTTATTACTTTTATGAGGATCCTTTTGTCCTGACAACAAAGATGGAATTTGATCATTCGATATAAATTACTTCGAAGATTCGAATAAAAACACGCCGTTTAATAGGCGCGCACTTGTATCTGGTTGACGAAATGATTCACGATATATAAGGTTCCTCGGACGATCGCTGTTCTCTTCTGTTAACTTTGGAATGCGTCGTTCGTAGGTTCATCTTCATCTTCATCTTCTTCTCCTTCGCTCTCAAAAGTATTGTCAGGTATATCGTACAAACGAATCATAGGCTTATTAGGATCCTTCATAATCAAATATTTTCCATCCTTTTGCTTCATACAAATGTCAATAATACATCTCAGTATACCCCAAGCATTATCCATATTCAAATTAATTTGAGTGGCAAATTCATTGGGCTTATATTGTTGAGTACCAAGAATTACATGTTTGCTAGAATCACGTACGATAGCACGTGAAACGTATCCAAATTTCAATTGATCCGATCCAGCTAATATTGCTTGAACAGTCCACTTGGCTAATTTGCAAGCATTATTTCTAAGTTCATTAGCTAATACTGCACCACGTTGGGTATCCAACTTTTGGCGCCATTCAACACCATTTGCAAGTTTAGAATCCCATTCGTTCAATGCTTTAATAGTTAGAAATTGTGTTTCGTTATTTGGACCTTGCATTACGGCATCGTGTTCACATCGAGCAACTAAGACGATACCATTATTAAGATCCCATTTACGATAGCGATAAGCAACGCTGGCTACATCACTCTCTTCTTCTTCGGAGATAAAAGGATTTCCTTCATCAAATTTGTGACGTGGTTCATTGGATTTAAGCACTTGCTGCGAGAAATTATGATTAATAAATGTGGCCTCTAATGCCAAGTTTCTTGGAGAATTTAATGAATTCCCGTCATCCTGCGGTGGTTCCACGCTAGTTTCGTTTACAGTTAAAAGGTCGAATTCTGTATTATCTCGTTTATCAAAGAAAAGCTTGTCTCCGATTTTTTCAATCACTATATCCCATGAATAATTACTACGAGTGCAGCACATAATAGTAGCGAGTATGGCATCAGTGGCATAGACGTTGCCCTCGGTTTTCGATAGTTTACGGATAATAGGATCATCGGTAGTAGTAACGGTATGGAAGATACGGTCGATTCTTTGCAATGGTTTCTCATTTTTGACATTTACTCTGTCATAAGTTTTATCGTAATACTCTAGAGATCCACAACAGAGTATATCTTCTCCGTCTTTAACGCTGGGTAATGATAGTTTAGCTAATCTAGGGAAATCCATCTCTTCTATAGTCACCCAATCAGGTCGTACGGTGACAGAAGCATCTCGAATCTTAATGGGTGGTTGATTCTTGTGATTTCTTAATCCCTGCTGCCTACCCCAACGTTTTGTTTGTCCTTTGCGTTCGCGCTCGCGTAGCTTCAATTTACCTAGCTGTTGCATTTGACTCAAAGCACCACGCTGGCCTCCACGTCCACGCAAATTACGCTGGTTGTGCCTGAACCTGCCACGTTGATAAGGCGGCTTCTGCACTCTAGTAGTATCCACAAGATGGAAAGTGCTTTCATCTTCATCATGATAGTAAGCATATTGACTTCCTGAGCCAAATTGAGAAGTATATTTGTCTGCAAAATTGTAATAGTATCGAACCATGGCCAAATGGAAACATTTCAATAAGTAAAACATCTTTGTCAAAATATTTTTATAAAAAATATTTCTTATAAATGATTATATTTCTCAAAAAGTGATCAATGACAAGAGAGACAAGTGACATAAACGAACAATACAAATGTACAAACAAAAAAAAATACAAACTTGGAAATTTCTTATCTTGGAATGCTGGTGCAGTCCAATCGCAGATCTAAAATGAAGAAATGTTTATATGAAAATTGATTAAGATAATCAAACGAAAAGGCATATGTGTCATCTTACTTTTCCTAGCCTGTCGCCTTTGGAAAATGGTTGATAAGGAATATCTTTAAATTGATCTGGCAATTCACATGGGCCCCAGCCGTCAGGATTATGTTGAATTGCCGGCGCTTGGAAATGCGCTCTTTTTTCTTTATGATCGCAATCATCCAACTCTACAACGTCGTCCATTATAATCGTTGTTGAATTAAATACGCATAAAAATCACTCAACAGAATACACTTGGCATCGTGTCGCGAGTGTTCATGCCGGAAAGACCGGTATCGCCATTTTCATTAAGTTACGATAGAACGCGTATTTCCGTTTCGTTGTAAACTCCGCATGATGATACGCTTAAAGGCAAATGCGCAATAAAACGAATGAGTAAGAAAAATTTTCTACATTGGTTACCATGAAAAAGATTTTTATTATTAATTCCATTTTAATAAATAAATAAACAATCACACATTTTGTTATTTATTCAACCAATACAAGGGCAAGGAATATCGAACCAATAATAATGTCGGATATCTAGGAACTTAAGTTTTCACGTTGGAAAATAGTCGATGCAACGAACGGTTTAAATCACTACAGAAAAATACTGTTGTCCTCCGATGGTTTCCATGGAAACCATCTATACCGGGTGTTTAAAAAATACTAATGTATCTTTTTATATTATCATCCGAGTAATTTGACGTTTGTAGCCATTTGAACATTACACGTAAGAAGAACTCCATAATTATATTAGAGCGATGTTAATTTTGCATTTTTTTGCATTTTTAAACGTATGCAAAAACATGGATTACATTAACATTAAATTAACATCACGAGCATAGAAGTCCTCGAATGTTAATCATAAAAATGGCATAAATTAATTAAAAAACATGACTTAGCATTAGACTTAATAATTCTCACGATTGATATAGTTCTTGGAAAAAGATAAACGTCAATTTATCCATTAGTTTATATAACATAAAAATATTCTTATCGTTAAGTACTAGCAAACCAAGTCGATTCGACGATCGAGTAGTAGGTTAAAAAGAAAAGTGATGCGTGGGCGGATAGAGTACGTTATATTTCAGTACTCATGACTCATGACCAGGTGTTCACGATCTTCGTAGCCATCGTCGCTTATCCCTGCGTCATAATCGTAAAAGAGCGTTCCTTTGTCCATCGAGGGTCCGAGATACTTGACCTCAGGAAGTATATATGTATATATATACATATATGTACATATGTGTCTACTTATATGTGTGTATAGCTGTGGAACAGCGGCAGATGAACTTTCGTACCGGGTGCCCCAAAAAATAATACTTTTAAGGATGAATTTTAAGAAATTCACTTTTTATTGAGATCAATATTCTGTTGGAATAATAAAAAGAACCTTTTGGTTAAAACTGAAAAATTTAGGTCACCGATAAAAAAGAATAATTTTTTACTTTAGTCAAGGTAATAATTGACAATTTTGTTATAAGAAATAATTAAAAATTGTTCGATAATTCTAAAGTATGACACAGTGTCATTGTATTCGAAGACGTATAAAAAAAACGCTTAAAGACAGCTGTCTGGAGCAATTTGTTGTCCATAAAACTAATGGAGCAGTGCGGATCTAAGAAAGGCTGTCTCGTATTTCTTTTCGAAAGCAACGGTTCCCCAGAAAGATTCACAGAAAGAGAGGTCGTACGAAAGAATGTAATCGAAGAGAGACGGAAATGGACAGATGGTTGGCGAGATCCTGTGGATACCAACCAACCGGGTGGGCACCTGGATCGTTGGACCGAAGAGAGAAAGAGCGTGTTCAAAATATAAGATCGCGAAAGAAAGTACAAAATATATATATATATATATATATATATATATATATATGTTGATAAATAAGGATAATGTTTGAGTTTCATAAAAAAAAAATGTTGATTTTACTTAATCATTAAAGAAAAATTTTAGAAAGAAAGGAGTGTAAGGTTGTAAAAATAGCACAAATGCGATAAGAAATGAAACGTTGTAAATATCTGTGCGTTAATTCGATAAAAGAAAATCTATAGTCGTGCGATTATATAAGAAATGAGTACACAGGAAGGCCTTAACTAGGCTAATGTCTTCTCCAAATAACTCGAAGGACTCTCGTGCTTGATACATGCGTGATATATCGTATGCATGTTGTGTATATATAATATACATCATATACATATACATATACATAATATATATGTATATGACTTTGTAAAGAATAATCGGTGATTTATGAATACAACCATATCAGAATAGGCACGAAATTTGCGTATGAAGGATATATGTGCGTGTATATACGTAGTATCGGTAATATAATAGGACCAAAGTGTAGAAACATGCGGTTTGGAGCGCTCGTAAAGTATTTCCCTGCACGTACCATCGAAAGAAACTAACCTTCCAGGTAATACACTCGGCCACAGCTATGTATACGTATACTTTCGTGAAAGGAACTCGAGTATATTGTGTGCACGCGACGAGCTGGATTCTTATGGGTACCGATCACGAGCCGATCTATACTTAGAAGCGGGCGAGAATAACGTGGCTTAGATACGCGGAACTCTCTTGTCTTTCTCTGCACCCTCCCGCAGCTCGCTCAACACTCAAATTTTCTCTCCTCTTCTTTTTAACCATCTACTACTACAATGAGAAATCTTTCTTCGATGCGTCTTGTCGTACAACGCATAAGGGGAACGGATTCGATCCTCTTATATTCCAGACTGACCAGTCGAAAGACCGGACACGTTCCTTTCCATCCTCGAAAGGATCTTCCTTGCGAATGTGAATATGATGTGATATGATATATATATATATGTACGCACCTATACATATATTTATTAAAAAGTTTCCTTACAAAGAATCGTATAAAAAAAAAAAAAAGAAAAATAAAAAAGGAAATAAAAAAAGGAAAAAAGAAATAAGAGAAAGAAGGAAAATGAATAACAAAAGAAATCATCTTTTATCGGAAAACATAATCTATGTGGGAGGACAACACGTCATTTCCATTGCATCGTTAAACGATCACGAAATAGCCATTTATACATTACACTTTCAGCAGCACGCCATTACCGGTTAGAGTGAAAGTACTTCCCAGAACATTATTTTCTACGGCACGTCTACCATTATTGGGATCATTACTATTCTGTTTAATGCATGACTTTCTGTACTATCGATTCACTAGACCGAGAAAACCTTGAAATTAAATTCTTGGTAAAGACTGGGCGAGAAGGATGAAGATGGAAGAACGTTCGACGAGAGATGGCTACCTCCATGCTCCGATTACTCTTATACAATTAAATACGTGAACTACTTTCAACTAATATGTGTGTGTGTGTGTGAAGGTAATTCAATTCTCATAAAAAAGAAAAAAACTTAATAAAAAGAAAAAATGAGAGAGAGAGAGAGAGAGAAAGAGAGAGAATAGAAGGTTAAATCTTCGGATAAATACTTATCTAAAGTTTCTATCAAAAGAATTTGACTTCTATCGTAAGAGGGTCTTCCTAAAAAGCTTTATATCGCGCGTTCGAGTAGACATTCGATTTCGTGCGAAATCGTTGACGTTCTCTGGATATCGTAACGCAGATGAGAGAGAGAGAGAGAGGAGGATGGCTCGTTGCCCGTACCGCTACAGAACAGTGCATACATATATACGCGAGTTCCGTAGATAGGAACGATGACGCGATGCGAGCGAGTTCGTACGTAAACCAGTTAGGCGGAATCCACTTTTCCCTGAGGCATAAACCTTTTCGCCTAAACGCGCGTATACGGATCGAGAGAATAGGAGGAGGAAGAGAAGAGAAAGAAAGAAAAAGAGAAAGAAGGGGAGAGCCTTCGGCCCTTGCACACTCGCCGACGGCGTCGGCGGCAGCAATAAGCGAGGCTTCTCAGACCTCATCGAGCCACTGTCCCGCTTTCCACGATTTCCCTCACCGTCTTTCGCCCAATCGCTCTCCCGTACTTTATCCCCACTCCGTCTACCCTACCGCCGCGTGCGGCCGCGTCGGTAATTATACATTCATTCAGTGGAGTCGCTCTGTCAGTCGCTCGTGGAGAATCCTCGCGGATAAGGTCGTATCTTCGTTTTTCTTTCTTTCTTCTTTTTCTCGTGACGTCTTAAAGTCTCTTAGAAATCCACCATATTTTTCTCTTTTTCTCTATCTCGATTTATTTCTTTTCGTCGTCTTCTCTCTTTCTCTCTTTCTCTTTATATACCTTTCCACTCTCCCATTCGCCGAGCTGCTTCAACGTCGTTCCTCGAAGAAACGGAAAGAGGGAAGTCTCAACGGGCTACAAGATATATCGAAATGGCGTTCTTTCTAACGCTCTCTTAAAAGATATAACCGAGAGACTTTCTTTTTCGACTTTCTTCCTGTCTACAACGTACGTTTGGTGTACAACTAAGAGTGTCCGACAGTGATATGTGACCCCCATCGACGTTCCCTGTAAAGTATAACGATTCTTGGAAACGGTGAAAGCAATTATAAACGTGCGAGCCAAATGTATTTCGAGGAAAGTTCTCTGAGAATTTCTCCTTGAGACAATTCGTCGCTGCTTTATTCCTCTTCTTTTTTATTCCTGAATGCACTCTTTGGAACAGCAGATCTGGACGAGACAATTACTGAACTAATAATTGGTAAGCGAATGAACAAATTATTATATTATTGTAGTAAAACTTTATTCTTCTATAGTATTTGGAGATACATAAGATATGATTACATACATTTCAACCAGTTGGAGATTCTATTTAATAGATAATAAAACGTGAAAAAAGTTTATAAAAAAATGAGCACTTTTTTCAAGAAATACATAACATAAAAATATATAAAATATACAATATGAAGCATAGATTAAAACATGCATGCTAGTAGAAAGATAGATAATCTCTTTGCAAAAGAATTATTTTTCTTCTTTTGTTGAATCAAATCTATATATTCGTTTTTCGAATTGTATTATATCCGATACAATGGCAATTGAGAAAACTTCTCTTTGTTAATATTAATTGTAGCAGATAAAATTTAGAAACATTTATGTTTATTGATATTTAGTTTATTACAAGACTCAAAGAACATTACAGATTATGCATAGGATATGTTTGTAGTATTGTGTGACTATGGAACTCCTAACCTCAAAATAAAGAAATTTCTTAATTGGAAAGAATATAAAGAGTATTAAAGTATTGCGTATACAAAAATATATTCTAAATTCACACTGTATAAGTAATACATAAAATCATAAAAGTAATTCCTAAATCGATAATATTATTAGAATTTAATATTCTATTAACTTATTCAAT